AGCTTGAGTACTGTCTGATGAGTTCTGGCAATCATTTCCCCTTGCTCGTTGAGTGCTATTAATAAATCACCCCCGATGCCCCTGGTCCTCTCTGCAATCTGTTTTGCTTGCACGATTGCTTTTGTTGTTTCTGAGGATTTCTCACGCGCCTCTTCTCCTAAAGCCTTGAAGAATTCCGCATTGCTCTCATCGCTTCTGTCTTCTGCTCCTTCCCACAGCTCAGCCTGTTGTCGTCTCCTGGCCATGGCACCTGCGGAGAGAGGTGGAGGCGGTGGTGGTGGCTCAGGGGATGCCACAGACTTCCAATCTCGGTGGCCATCGACAGGGGAGCCACCGGACGACCCAGACCCTGTGTCTGTCGTCGGCCTTGGCGACTGGTCAGCAGAGGTGCGATTGGGTCCCAGAGCGCGTCCCATACATGATTTCCTTTCCCTGTTGGCAGGCTTCTTTCCCCTCTCCCCATGTCTTCCACTTCGGAAAAAGGAGGAGAGGGAGAAGGAGTGATGATGCTGCGAGTGAGTTTGGTCGTGCGGCAATGCATGCCCAGCCCCCCGACCATCTCCACTGTCTCTTTCCCCTGAAATGGCGCCTCCAGTGGCGAGTTTGGGTGACTTATACCCATCAGGTGCTTTAGTCGCCCGCCAGGGACTCGGAGTACCCTCTGCCTCTTCTTTCCATTCATCCAAAGCTTCTCCATCGCTAGATCGGCCCCTGTTTATCCTCCTGAGAACATCCATTTTACCTGTATTTGGGGCAACTTTCAGTCCAGATACGGCAATAATTACCAGGCCAGAAGAGGTGGGTACTGCGGTCTTGTGTATGGCGTTGTCAAAGTGCTAGCCACTGTGAAATGTACATCCGATATCGCACCTTGAATCCTTGATTCTTTGTACTCCGACAACACAGGTCCCTTTTTTCCTACCCCTGAATCGTGATCCTTTTTCTTCTTAGCCAAGAGGGAAAACTGATCAGAACAGATAACAGATACTGCTCTTGATCTTCCTTAGCCAAAAGGCCGAGAATAAACGGCGAGAAAGGTAACTACAGTTACTACAGTAACTACACAGTTACTACAGTAACTACACAGTTACTACGGTAACTACACAGTTACTACAGTAACTACACAGTTACTACAGTAACTACACGGTTACTACAGTACTTCAGGAGTCTTTTTTTTTTTTTTTTTTTTTTTTTTTGAGTACTTGAGAGGGCTTATCAGATTCTCAGTTCCAAGACGCTGGTGACCTCACAGACCAAAGGGCAAGACGACGCTGCCATGTCTGTCATTACCCCTATCATCACGCCCGGTCATTATAGCTGTATTTGGTGCAATTTTCAGTCCAGATACGGCAATAACGTGACGTGGCATGACCTCCCCCTTCTCCCCCTTTCTCATCATCATCATCATCGTCGTCGTTGTCATCGTCATCATCACCATCACCATCACCATCACCAAAGGACAGCAAGCCAAATCTTCTTCATCCTTGTCTTTGAGGACAACCAAGTGACATTTTTTCTGCCCTCAACCTTCTCCCCCTCTGATCGCTTCGGACTCGAAAACGCATTTATTAGGATTCCCAAGGGTGGGTTTGATACGCAAGGACAACTGCAACCCTTCCCTGTTCTCCTCTCTCTGCCTCGCTCTTCACCTTCCCTGCTACCCCGTCCAATTGCTTGCCGTCTTCTTCCACTCTCTCTCTCTCTCTCTTTCTCCTGCTCCTCTGCCTCCTCTGTTCTTCTTCCCACTCCCGCACTAAACAGAGACTGGCAGAAACCAAGGCTCTGTTTTGGAGGAGGGGGAGGAGGAGGAGGAGGAGGAGGAGGAGGGAGATTTTCAATTGTATCTCAGAAGCAAACGAATCCCAGATCAAAAAAACGAAGAAGCTGAAGACTGAGCAGCTTCAGTGTCTCCAAGCCTCTTAGTCGAATTCAGGATCCTCAGCGGAAGACGGATCCCCACTGAACAAAATGAAGCTGAAAACATGCTCCACATGTACAGTTGATTCTGATGAACATCTGAAACGGTAGATGATCCGGCACAGAAACAACAACATTCACATGGATATCAAGTTAGCAATGCCGATAACAATGAAAGCCCGTTTGGTGACTGCCGTCCCCTGAGTAGAATGCACGGTAATTATAGCTGTAACTGAGGCAATTTTCCGACCAGATACAGCGATAACGACTGTGCGTTCTATTCAGGCGAAGACGGTCGTGCCTGAATGGTTTTTAGTATATACCAAGAGCGACCAGAATTCTAACAGTTTTTCTGAGTTGAAAGTCTTGCAGAATTCAATTGTGTTAGGGCCCTTAGGGGGTACCATGCATTTTGGAGGAAATGAAAAAGGACAATTATTATGTTAACACTCCATCCAACATGTCAATTCAGTAAGACCAGGTTGGGTTAGATGAACTTAGATCATTTACACAAATTTCAAAATTATACTAGATTAGAGATCAGAAAGGTTTGTCCTTCGGGACATCCGTTAAAATTGGAACGATACAGAGAAGATTAGCATGGCCCCTGCGCAAGGATGACACGCATAAATCGAGAAACGGTCC